GTTGACCTTTACTCTGATTTGAAAACAATGTAAATCACTTCAGTTTCTTGATAACAGCCCATTAAAAGAAAGCATAGGCAGGCAAAAAAAAAACACTCATCAAAGTAAGAAATATTTGCCACCAACAGCCCTCAGGTGATGAGCTCCTTTGTTGAAATAATTTTACAGGTTAAATAAATAATATTCCTGCCTCTCCAGGTGGATAAATCTCTGTGGGAACTGATGGGAGTTTGTTTAAAAGGAATAATTCCTGCATCAACACTGCCTTTGCTACTGATAACGGTAAGCCATTTGGGTAAAAAACAAACTAAACCCCTTTGTTATATATCCTTATGGGTTTAATTTGAAAACAACTAAACTTGATTGATTGTTTGATTCCATACAACCAAATTAATGTGTATTATTTTTATTTTCTTAATATTCTATTTGGTAGTATTTATGCCTTATTAGGGCAGATTTTATTTAACTCTTAACATTTTACAGTGTTGCTATTTCTTTTTTTTTTTCAGGTCCCTTAAGTGTGTTTAAACTACATGATAAAAAGCGTGCCATGTTGTTTCCACATTCCTACCTTTAGTCATGTTGTTATATATTGCCTGTGCATGGTATAAACATTTATATTTTCTCTACTCAATAGTTTTTTTATCTGGGACCCTTGGTTCAGTCTGCTCTGGACAACCCTGATGGCTTCGCCGGCGAGCTGCGATCTGCTTTGGGTCTGTTTGCAATCAGAATGTTTAAAAGCTTCTGCTGGAGAAATCTGGTGCAAAGAGTTTGACATGTGTGACTCCTTTGAGTTAAAGACGATCATGAGATCCTGACGGTGATGTATTTTCCCAGATGTTCAAACCTGGAGGCTGTGCATGCAAGATGCAGAGTGGATCAGGAACCAGGTGGTGGCGCCAGTGACGGAGGAGCTGGTGTTCAGAGGAGCCATGCTGCCTATGATGGTGCCCTGCACTGGAACCACAGCTGCTATTTTTATCGCTCCTCTCTTCTTTGGTGTTGGTATGGCAAACCACAATGCACACTATTTAACTCTGAAAAAAAGCCCTATTCCTGATTACAGAATTCATTTCATTTTAGCTCATTTTCATCATATCATAGAGCAGCTGCAGCTGGGAAAGGACAGAGTGAGTGCCATCTTCCTGGGGTCAGGTGAGCTTGTTTTTAGATAAACTACATGAGGGAAAAAGTTTAGCTTTATTCATTTTTAGCAAATTTCACACGTTTACTCTTTTCAAATTAAATGCCAGCATAGATTGCCAGCTCAGCCTTGAATATTGACATGCAGTCAGAGGCAATTTACTTTATCCTTCTGCAGTGATTTGCTGGAGTATTGATGCCGTTTTAACAACAAGCTACTTCGCTGCAGTTTTGTGTGATGTTACACAAAAAGCAACTCTGATTTTTTTTTTTTAAAGAGGAAATATATGTGGTTTCCTTTTTCTGCACATACAGTAAACATTTTTAATATTGTGGCATGTTTATAAACCAAGTCAACGCTTTCTAACTGATCTGAGATATTTCTCAACCCACACGTCTAGGTTGTTTTGCCTTTTCTCGAGCAAAAAAATTGGGAAGAATAACCATTTTTATCCCCCAACAAAATCTGTTGACTGAAAATATGGACAATGACTGCACCATTCTGAGACGTGATTGTGATTTGATGCAAACCACACCTCGCTGTCTTTATGTGTAGGTTTGGTGTCCTGCTGGAAGCTAGACCTTGTCTTGAGCCTTTTAGAGCTTCTATCAGCTTCTTTTCTGCAGGGCTAACATGTATTAAGCTATATCCAAATTCTTACCTTCCTTTTTTCCCCACTGATGAAAACTTCCCTATGGCATGATGCTGCCACAACCATGCTTTACTGTCCAACAAAACAGATATGACACTTACCTGGTCAGATATATTTTTTGGCGTCTTTGATCATTCTAGAAACCCTCCTTAAATTGCAATTGTTTTTGAAAGGTGTGTAAATTAAGTAATGTTCAATGTAATGTAGGTTTTGCTGCCTCTTAGCCAGGACTCCCTTGAAGGCAAGTTTATTTATAGAGCAAAATTCAGTACAAGGATATTTCTATATGTATTAAACAATGCAATATAAGTGAAATAAAACCAAAGGAAGACAAAAATATGATAAAACCAGGTATTAAAACAAATAAAAATAGGTGGACAACAACCATGATGCACTTTAAACTGGTGTTGCGCTATAACTAGGTGTAATGATACTGCAACAACTTATACTATTTATCTATTTAACAAACTGGAAACTACACTTTAACCTACCACCACTTTACTGTACATAAGATACTGAATATATAAGTCACCTTATATCTCACCTTTATGTTTTACCATCCACAGTATATATCTGGGTGCACCTTTACCTCCTTTGTGCACCTTCTGTTTGTTTATAAGAGCTCACAAGTGAATTTCTCCATTGTGAGATCAATAAAGTTGTATTCTAATTAATAATACCTGAGTTAACAGTTTAACTTCAACAGTCAAAGGCAGCTCTAAAATAAATGGGTTTTTAACTTTGACTTATAAGAAATCAAGCTTTCAGTAATTTTCTCTTGAAAAATAGGTTCTTAATCACAATGGGACTATCCTGGTTAAATAAAAACTGAACAAAAACAAATAAATTAAGGACAATTAAAGCAGATCACTTTTCAGTCAGGCACCATTTTGAGATATCTCTTAAAATTCTAATCAGAAGAATTTTAAGAATACAAAAAAATACAAAAGTGAATTTCTTCTGATTAAGACGTTTTTTTATTTTTATAACAGGAGTGCAGTTTTTGTACACAACTGTTTTTGGTGTCTTTGCTGCCTTTTTATTCACGAGAACTGGTGAGAGAAGAGGCTAAAATACAAATTTATTAATAAAGAACCCACCTCGTGTATGTGTGATAATTTTAGATCTGTGGTGTTTTCTTCCTAAGGTCATATCGTGGGTCCAATTTTATGCCATTCCTTCTGCAACAGCCAGGGTCTCCCTGACATCGGTTCTGCTCTCAGCCACCCTCAGCGTTCAGCTGTGCTCTTCTGTTATCTGAGCGGATTCCTGCTGTTTCTGGTGCTGCTCTTTCCTTTGACAGACCCTTTCCTCTATGGAGCCAGACCTGTCTGCAGCCTGGCTGCCTCTCAAACATTGGAATGCTGAATAGAAGAATATCCAATAAACTACAAGTCATTGAAGATGACTCAGTATTTTATTTTAATAAAATTTTTTCAATAATAAAAAACTGTGCATGTGTTTTGTAGATTGGCAAGGCAAGAAAAAAAACTGTGCTTCAGACATTTCCTGCATGGTTCAAAAATATTTCCCACTGTATGAAACTCAACACCGGCACCAAATTCTCTGGCTACAACAAAGAAGCTGAGGGGAGCATGTGTGCAAGCAGAGAAAACCAGATGAAGTATGGTGAAGAAGAAGCCAGAGGAAAGGCAACGGAGGACACAGTTGCAATGAAAGATGCAGATTCAGGCAAAAAAAACGCAGACGTCCCCGCCAATAAATACAGCATCTGAACCAAATTGGAGAGAGACAGCTATTTAAAACCATGTTTTTAAGTCAGGCAAGGCAATGAAAGGTAGAGGAAGACTTAAACAGGAAAGATTGAAAAAATAAGAGGCTGCAGCCAGAAGCAATAAGCGGAATGCCAACAGATGAGGAAAATCAAAAAGAAAGAGCTAGAGTGGGGAGAAAGCTTCTTCCTCCCAAAAGATTTGGAAAAAATGGAGTAGTAGAGCAGAGGAACAAAGAAGAGGTCAATCAGGGTATGTGGAAATGCCTGGGAGGTGAAAGGTTGTATTAAAGCTCCAGATTTATGAGGTGGAGTTATGAGCAATAAAAAAGTTCCAACCCAAAATTGAGTAAACAGCATCACTCTGCATGTACGAACCTTTACTGTTTCTCAAATCAGTACCTCAGATATTTATAACTTATAGCTATGTTTATTTAAATTTGTTTCGATGGAAATTCTGGTGTTCATTTTACAATATTCAAAGTCGCTTGATTTTTTAGAATTTTAGTTTTGAATGGCAGAAAAAAAAATACAAGAATCATGAACCCATCATCTAAACAGCTTGTTTAGATAAGGACTGAATGAAGAGTTTTCTGGTCAAAAACTGTCTAATCTGAGAGTCTTCCTGAACAAATAGCAAAAATATGGTCTGAGGGGCAACGTTTTCTTTAAGTTATAAAAAGAAAAAAGAAAAAAAGGATATATATATATATAAATATATATATATATATATATGCACAGATAATTTATTGATACTAGTAGAACCATAGCAGCACTAACATGGAATGACAGAAGTGGACAAATATTCCAGAAAACAGATGAACAGCTGGATGGAGGGAGTCTTTAAGCATGTTAATGGTGTTTATGAACCACTCTTAATTGATTTTATCTGCTTCTCTGCTCCTAGCATACCACACCTAGCCTCGTGAGACCATCCTGATCTCTCAAGCTTTCAATGTTTCACTCGCAAATCAGTCTGGAGACTCTCCCTTAAAGAAAATTTGGAGCCGTTCACCAAACGAACGTCCAATCAGTGTTGGCTTTGAGGCGGGTTGAGGTGTGACGCAACGAGAAGCGCGACAGTTCAGTCTAAAGAACATGGCGACTTCAGCCGATGAAACTAGGGTTAGTGTGGCTATCTAGCAAGTTTTATCGGAATTAAAGAGTATTTCTTCACTGAAAAAAGAGCAAAACACTGCACTGGAGGCTTTTCTCAGAGGAAAAGATGTTTTTTGCACTTCTCCCGACTGGTTTCGGCAAGAGTAGCCTGGCTTGTGGTTGTGTTTTCGTCGTCGCTCAGTTAGTACGTCATATGCTTCGTTGATCTGATTGGTTTATTTGGCCCGTCTATCACCAACATAGGCCAATCAGCTAACCAGTATTTTCGCCACTTCCCAAAATTACTTCAACGGAAGGTTTCCAGATGGATATGCGGAGCAAATCCATCTGGCAGAGTCAGGTTGTACCACACCTAGATCCAGTAAGATCTAGGTGTGGTATGTTAGGTGGATAGTTGCATGATACAGGGACACCAACTGTCATAATCTTGGGTCTCACGATCTGATGGCTGGCTTAATTGTTCATTTCATTCACCTGTCTAACTCTGCCCGGTAGTTCATTACTGCTCATCTAATCCACCTGCTCCTGCTACTATTCATACTGCTCAGTCCCAGCCATCATGGCCAGATGGCTGATGCTTTTCTTCTAGTGTTCGTTCTTGGGGGCGAGTGGAGAAAAGTTTTTTTTTAGCGTACCGTAGTGTTTCTGATTTCCTGATCTGCCTCTCATCCACTCAACATGTCTGTTCATCTCTTGGCTCCGTGGAGAGAGCGCACTGAGCCTACCTGTTCCCATCTGAACGTTCTGTGTGAACTGTATGTAGACTCTTGGAACCCTGAACTAGCCTGTTCCTATTCTGATCGGTATTCCTGACCGGGCTTCGGACTCCCGAACCTCTTAGTCTTCCTTTTCTGATCTGTTTCCCTGACCTGGCTCAGACTCCTGCTTGTCCTCCATGGCTGAGGCTTTTGGGAAGCTCTTGGCAGCGCCCCCCGCATCTCATTGGCAGCTCAACAGCTAGATCCTACCTCATTTTATGGAGAATGACCGAACTGTTAAACCAGGTTAGTGACTAACATGGATAATCATCCTCCATCAGATTATCATAGTCACTAATCTGTGTTTTTCTCCCACAGTTTCCAGTCCTAGACGCTCTAGCTGCTGATTTGGAGGATCCACAGCATGCTCTATTTTAATAAATGCTTTAAAATATGCCTCTGTCTGTCTCGCCTTGAATACTGGGTCCTTCTATCCTGCCTTATGACACCCGCAGCTTCTTCAGTATATATTTTCTGAGAAAGTGCAATAACTGAGACCCTGCTGGACCTTCACTGTCATCCCATGTATATTTCCAGACCATCACAGGTCCTTAAAGATGGTAAGTCCAAATAATTGGAAGGAAGCCAATGTCTTTACCAAGTCCACTCTAGTCTTTCTGAACTCAAAGACAACCATGTTGGTTCTTATGATGTTAAGGTGCAGGGTGGTGTCGTCTGCAAACTTGATTATGGAGTTTGACAGGTGGAATTGAGTACTGTCATTAGTGTACAGAAGAGGGCTCAACAAGTAGCTTTGAGGAAAGCAGGGAGGAGGACAGGTGGGAGCCGAGTCTCACTGACTGCTGTCTGTCACTGAGGAAGTCTTTGATTCAAGTCCAGATGGGAGGAGGTGGGAGGTGCACCAATTTGCCAATGAGAATGTCTGGATTGTGCAATCAAAATATAGCATAAAAAAATCAATGATATAATGTAATATAATATTGCTTAGGGCGGAATATGAAAATACTGCTAGTTGTTAAAGTGGACAAGCAGACATATGTGAGGAATTATTTGAAGCGGTTAAATATCCAGTTATATTAATGACAGAGGCTTGTTAATAGTCCCAATCAGGTGGTCGAGATCAATTTGCTAAGGCCTGAAATGCCTGTAAGTCTATTTTCAAATAATATATGGCAATAGTTTATAATGTGTCCTTTCTGCAGCATTACAATGATACATAAAAATGTATTGCTCCTTGCACCATTTAACCATTTTCTTTTTTTTTAGGATATAATTTTACAATAATTCACTGGTTTGATTTTTACCCTCTCCCTGTCTAGTCTTTAGTAATAGACTATTTTATGACTAAGATTAGCTTGTCGGGAGTTAAAAGGATTCAAAAAATACATTTTTATCTACTTAAAATCACCTATTCATCATATACTCATGAAACCAAAAATGATGCGCAAACAGGATGGGTTGACTAGGGTAAGACCCTGAAATATTCCAAATTAAAAAGGCAAAATGATGCATCAAACTGGAATTTGATGTAAGACACCAGAAGAAAGTAACTCTAATAGGTGGGAATGTGATACATTATTTACAATTACAAAACTGAAAAGTGTGGAGGGCATTGATATTCATCCTATATTGAGTCAACACCTCTACACCTTTTATTCCAGTTAGAGCTGCAAGTCTAGCGCCCCAGTTACACTACCCCTCTGAAACCGATCCGTGCCGAGTTCGGACCGAGCTTGGATCAGTTCACCGTACCGAGGTTGGTTCCTTACGACCATTTACACATCACCCTTGCATGGTTCATTGCCTTCTATTGGTGGTCCACGATACTACAGCTCTCAAGGCGGGAAATCCGCAAACAAAAATGGCGGCACCAAAAATATTCAGGAACTTATGTGCCTGGATAGCGTCCTCCGCCCAAATTTCAATGAGAGCCTCAGTATTGGCATCATCCACACTTGGTCACACCATGTTCTTTTGATGCTGTTTATTGTTAACAGTTCGAGAAGAAGTTTGTGTTGTGAACAGATGACGAGATCTCGTACTCGTCGTCTCCCGCTTTATCCGGAACCGGGTCACGGGGGCAGCAGACTAAGCAGAGACTCCCAGACTTCCCTCTCCGCAGACACCTCCTCCAGCTCTGTTGGGGGAAGCCCTAGGCGCTCCCAGGCCAGCCGAGAGACATAGTCTCTCCAGCGTGTCCTGGGTCGTCCCCTGGGCCTCCTCCCGGTGGGACATGCCTGGAACACCTCCCGAGGGAGGCGTCCAGGGGGCATCCGAAGAAGATGTCCGAGCCACCTCAACTGACTCCTCTCGATGTTGAGGAGAACCGGCTCTACACTGAGCCTCTCCCGAATTCACGAGATCTGTGAATTACAAAGGCAGACATGGTGGGAAAACCACAAAATGAGTCAGCTGAGTGTAAATAAGAGATGACGGGGTCTGCTCATGCGCTCTTTGTTATCAGAAACGGAGCCACAGATGAATCATGTCGAGCCCTACTGCTGAACTAGTACTAGTTTTAGCATGGTTCTGTTGTGTCTGGTATGGTCCAGTGCAGTGGTATTCTATTTACACTCAACAGTTATCTTGGTTAACGTTCTCGGACCATTATAAGCATGGTTTCAAAAGGCTAGTGAAAATGGGGCTTATGCCAGCTTTCTTTAGACTGAAGTTTTTTGTCTGTCTTTTTTTTTGCTTAACATGTTAGTTGAACATCACCATGCCATAGTTTTAAGTCGTAGTGATCTCAAAAAGTCCTTCAGCAGCCCATTGTCATTGACATGGTTTCATCCTTTATC